TGTGTGTGTGTGTGTGTGTGTGTGTGTGTGTATGTAAACTCCTCGCAACCATTTTTCCAAAATAGAAAGTAAATAGCGAACTTCGCCGCATGTCAGCTTAGTTTAGTCATCCTTTCACGTCACTATATATATACTTTTTTTAAAGAAAAATTTTACGTTTCGAAGTGGAGATGAGTTCCCGTGACACTTCTGCGGTCTTTCCTTACACTTAGGTGGCACGGAAAGCCGTAAAAATCTTGAACAAAAGCTCATCTTTCAAACCGGCAGTCTAAATCCCACTGGGATCAATGAACGCTTTTCATTCCACTAATTTATTCATGTTTTTCTCGTTGCCATGCACTCACCAATAACGTAGCTCCATTTTCTGCCTTTAAAAGCACACACAACCCACAATTCCTCTATTCGCTCCGACGAAGGGCTAACGCTCGAAACGTCAGCTTTTGTAATCATTACGGTGGCCAATTTACCATTTCAACTTTGTTGATATATCCAAATTATCTCGTTACTCCCACCGACGCAGCCCCAAACAGTTTCTTTCGAAACTATCAGCCTTTATTCATTTGTATTTAACATTTCGTCCCTAAATTAAGAAAAGCAAAATACGAAACATTGTTCACCAAAATTTGTTAGAATTTTCGTCTCCAACGAAAACAGAAGCGAAATGGAAAGCCACTTTATTTCTAGGTGCCTGCTATAAGCTAATCATTCTCAAACTAGCCTATCAGCGCACGTCAAAAGTAATATTCACTTGTCGGATATACTTTTAAACTGATAGTACCGACACAGATGAGTTGCGTTTTTGACTTACTATCATTCCATGCTGCAGTGCTTGAGCGCTGTACCAAGCAGCTATACCAAAATGTGTCGAACCTTAAACGGGACAAGAGAGGTTTGACGGTTTTCTCCAAAGTGCTCATGAAAAGACCTAACTAAATGGCGGGGGAGGGGGGAGGGGAGGGAAGGGGAAAGCGGAAAACCCAATGTTTTTGTCTTCGATTTAAACACACAACACGGAAACAGTAATTTCCTAAAACAATCTACATTTTTGACACCAATCCGCCCTCTCCGTTAGTTGACTTATGCTATTGGTGCTAGCAGCAAAACGCCATCTGATGGACAGTTTTAGATGATTTTCCCCTTACGGGTTTTTTTCTTTTGCATGAACTTTTTCGTTTTTGCGTATCCAAATAATCCTCAAAATCCGAAAAACTTAAAACCCCCGCACGGGTAGTGTGCACAGCTTAGTGTAGTCAAAATTAACCGTACCTAGCGCTTGATCGAAAAAAAAAAAATGGTTGTTTCAATTTTTCTCCGCTTTCGCAATTTGCAGTCCTACCTTGAAGCCCCTTTCCTTTTCGGTAGGGGTGATAAAAGAAAGGGCTGGGGGATGGGGGTGGGGTGCATCGTTACGTGACGTTCCTTAAACTACCGCGAAGAAAGTCTGGCATGTTAGCCCGATTGCTATACTCCGTCGAAAGTAAAGCTTCACTACTTGTTAAGGACACGTACAAGCCTAAAACAGCTTTTACAGAAATATTAGTTACCTCTGCACGCAACACAGCCAATTCCATAATCCTTTGCTTTTTTGATGGCTAAATCCATGCAATAATTACCAACAACCTATTTCGGGACAGAAAAAAATAACGCAAAGGGAAGTGTTGCTTGTGTTGTAACCCCAAGAGAAGATAGATTGTGGGTACTTAGATCGTCACGCGAACTTCTAGTTCGTTGCGTGACACGATTTGAAGAGAGAGGCACTTCCTCGAAAGAACAAAATTTAACGACTCAAAGAGCGTGGCCAAAAATTACCTTTAAAAAAATAGTGAGATAGAATCAATAGTTTTGATTTTGCTCTCAGTTAAATCAGTTAGACCGGGTATCTAGATCCGATCTTGTAAGAATTTCAGTTCCAAATACCGTTTGAATTTGATTACTTTTGTAGAGAAATAAAGTTTTAATAATATGTTTTGATAATTTCGCTTACAAGCACTCACGCAAACTAACCCACTCAAAACTTGGCTGTCGATTACTTAACCCCAAATACTACAAACAAGGATTTCACGGTAAATTGCAAGGAATTTCACGTAAAAAGGAACCAAAAAACAAAATGAAAAATGACAAAAAGCTTGAGTTTACTTACAACACCCGGGAGATTGTTACCATCCACGAGCGCAGTCGCTGCAAAATCCTTTTCAAGACTCGGTTCGCCTCTGGCTTGCGTAACGCCATTTTCAATGTCACGCATGTACATTTCTTCAAATAAGTAATATCGTAATATCAGTTAAAGTCAGCAGTTACGGCTAGGGGTTGACAAGGGTGAACATGATCAATTTTGAGAAATGAGTCACATGTTTGTCGCCTGATCACGGATTCGGTAACGCTTTCTTTGCTGTAGGACCATCTTCAGGAAACCTCGAGCTGGGCAAATGCGGTGGGGGAGAAGGGGATATTTAACCGATATTTCTCTAAGGATCTCGACAGTTCTTTGAGATGATATACAACTTGAATACAGTTCTACCTCTAAAATACTTTTTCTAGATGTTTTATCGTCTTTCAGAGCGTTTTCAGATATGATATCATGCCAGTTTCTGCGTGAAATCGCCTTCTGATGTACGTTTGTGAAATCGACAAAGCAGCGAAGACTACCTTTTGCAGATAAAGGAAGCATGCTTCTTCAACACTCTCGTCTGTAAAGGCGAACGATCTCGCTTGCTTGTGTTCAAAACTTTACATTAAACAATAATAGTTATTGATTACAATAATAATTCAACTGTAATCACTTCACCTAATCTGTAGAGCCCGTGAGTAAAATGGCCTCTAATATCAGCCTCTATGAGCATATTGGCCATAGCTACACTGTGTTTGGGTTCAGTTCCTATGGCTGTCATACATCGCTCTATAAATGAACGTGCCGCCACCAGCGACACAAGTTTTGTCATCCTGGCTGCTGTAGAAAAATGACTGGGGACAAACTGTAATTTGTGGTAATCCTAATTAGCATAAATTAATATTTTGCCGGCGCGTATCGTAGGACTGGGAGTGGCTACGAGGTACTCG